TATATATATATATTTTTCTTTGCTTTGCCACAAATGACTCCTGAAATAATATAATTTTATCAAGCAGTTTTCTTGCTTGAAGAATGATCGTTTTATTATTATCTATAGTAAAATGTTTTTAATTTTATGAAGAAAAATAACCTTTATGATTTTCAGTGTTAATGCCTATGACATTCGATCATACCCTTAAAATATGTTTGTCACAGCTTTACGCGGCTTAAATTTACCTGATTATTTTATACTTTGCATTAAAGCATGTTCTAATTATATTATTTTTTTATGTAATTTGTAATATATAAATGTCTTTCATGAACGTATCAAAATGTGCAAAACACATTTTACGAGTCTCACTAATATAAGATATATTATAAAAATTTGAATATATATATATATAGGAAGAACAGTATACAATCAAGTCAGAGAATTATTGTTTGTTAACAGAATAAAAAAATGCAGAATATTATTTTTTAAATAAAACTTTCTATAAAAATAAATTTTATATCGAAGATATATATAAAAAAGGAAAAAGAAAAAGAAGTAGCGATCTTACCTTTTCCAAAGATCACTAAAAACTAACAAATTTCACATATCTGGCACATTATAAATACCATATGTAAATAAATTCTAAGGTCGTCAATGATATTGTCTCTTTAGATTATAAACACAATCAAGTCTCAATATATAAACAAATAAATTCATATTGTGTCATTACTATAAACGATTTTGCTGTAAATATAAACTGTTATAAATTGTTTTAGAGATTGTAATAAGAAATTTGTAATTTTTTCATTAATTCGAGTTTAATTTTTCACATGATTACGAGTAGATATCTAAAAATACATATACAAATTGTTTTCCTCTCTCTTGTTCTCTGTAAAAAATATTTGTTGATATATAACATCTGAGTATTGCGGATTGGAATGATCGCGCAAGGCATAGTTACAAAAAAAAAAATAAAATTCATAATTATTACTCATAAAACGCTCATAAAATTTAATATTAAAAATGCAGACATGGTATATTTTATAATATATAATTTATATAGATATATATGGTCCTGGAACTTCAATCCACATTTAAACTCATAAAACTTTTTCCATATTTATTTTAAAATAAACTTTCTATATTAAATTTTTTAAGACTTTTAAATCTTTTTTTTCAAGAATTAATGTAAAAAAATAACGCATACAAATGCGCATTTATTTGGATGTTCTGTAACAAAATTCGGAAATTTTATAAGCAATAATCGTATCGACCAATATCTCACTCGAGCATATTCTCGGAAAATGTAAATTATTTATTAATGTTTAAACTTTATATATTATAATAAAATCTCAAAATATTTAAATTCTTTATATATATAGTTTGATATAAAACTTTCAATAAACTTAAGAATAGAATAAAATTTATAATTCATCTTTCATATTAATTTCATCTCTCACTGAAACGAATGAGTTCAGTTTTCGCACGCTCCCTAAAAATAGTGGAATTGTGGTTGGTTTATGTTCAATTGCGAACATAAATGGACGATCTACGATAAATTCCATTGGTTCGATTGCCATTCTTCTCGACCTCATTTCGGCAACTGCAATTAATTTTCTATTGTAATACTTGCAATATTCACATACAAATTTATATTATTCACAGATAGAAAAGTTACCTGTTACAGCAGCAGCTTCTGTACCTTGTTCGTTAACATCTATGAAAATTTTTTGTAATACATTGCTCACTTTTAAAGGAAATTTTGAAAGACGTGTAAAATCGCAATTATCTTTAAACATCGCATTCAGGCCAATCTACAAGTAAGAATTTTAGTTTCTAGGATTTATGTGAATTCTCTCTTCTATATTAGATTAAAATATATTTTGCTAATTGCTTACCTTATGTAGAACATCTTTTAAATTAATAGCAATCTCAAATTTAAACTTGGGTAGATATAATTCAAAATCGTCATAAAACTTGCGTCTTTTTACCAATGTTTCCCAATTAAAATTGTTTTCTACAAGCTGCAGTTCTATATCTTTATCCGGCAATAATATTATCATTACAATTTCCTCATTCTGTAAAATACATTTTAATTCAATTTCATTCTTGTGAAAGCTTTTTATAAATAATTATTTACCAAATATGGTATTTCAATGAATTGTGTATCCCAAGTTGGTATTTCACCATAAAAATATGTCGCTTTTCTATACATTGTTGGGACAAGACATGTTTCTGTTTTCGAAACATGAAATTCGCGTTGCTGCGTGTCCTCTTCATTAAACGGTTTTAGCCATCTACTTCTAAAGTGAATAGCATTTACCATTATAAAATTTGTATCTATGCTGATATCATCTATTCATACAAAGTATTTGGTTAGTGAAAATGCTTTGTAAAAGCTATAATTTTTTAATATTTAATTATTAATCACACATGTGAGCAGTATACCTGGAGATATTATGTTGGATATTTTATTATATGTCGCCATTTGGACCCATGAATTAATAGTTTCCGCAGCATGTACATTATTTTTGAAATTTATTTTTGTAATCGCGGATTGAAAAATATTCATGCATATTGATAAAAAGTCTCCTGTTAGATCAACTTCCTTTTGAATATATGCTGCATTCGCTATATGCAATGTGACATTTTCCATATCCTAAAAAGTATTTAAACATTTTATTTTCTAGAAGAATTATGTATCGTAATCTTTTTGTTTTTCATCTTACATTTAACAAGACGATCAGAGCTCTAAATTCATCATTTAAAGATTCTTTATCATTATAGCCAAGAGCAGATCTTAACTCATCCAGTGTGGATCCTCCAGCGCCATTAGAAAGTAAGGACAATATCATATGTAAGCTCAAAGGAGAAATTATTATATTCTTGTCGGTGTTTACTGCTAAAGTCTGTAACAAAAAACATAAATTACAAGTTAGAAAACTCAAAACTTACATAAGATAAGAATACATTGATTACATACCTTATACAACGAATTTGTAAAATCATTACACGCTGTAGATATCCGTTTAAAAGTATTTAATTTTATGCTCGATGATACTTCTTCAACAGACATTATTACTGTATGCAATACAGTGCTAGCAATGATTATCATAAACAATGCTGCAAAGTATACATTGATTAGAAAATTAACAGGATACTACTATTTCAGATAATACTAATAATTTATGGCAAAGCAGAATAAATATAGCTATATGTATATTGCCATGTTATAAAAAACATTTTTTTAATATTATCATATCATTACCTGTGTGCTTAAACATTGTGATTCTATGTGTAGGAATATAAAAAATAAGGATATATTTCAAGTAAAATTAAGGAAGAGTTATTAAACTTAATATATGTATGTATGTACATATGTAGTAACTTTTTTGAAATCCTTCCTTTTTTTTTAAATGACTATAATATTTCTAGAAAGCTCAAAAATCCAGAAATTTCAAAATGACATATAATCTGGTTAAATTCTAATCGAAAATTCTCTCCTTTTAAATTAAGTTAGGTTAGGTGCCAGATGTATATGCGTCAGGTGTTAAAGCAAAAGAGCTGTCAAAAGAAAAAGAAGCCAAGTAGAAAAGAACGCATGATCTTCATATGAAATTCAAACGAGTCTTACGTGATTTTAGAGATGGTCTCGAATTTATTTCAACAACAACGGTTTTCAGCTGTTTGGAAAACTTTCTGTATAATATTTCCAGGACTTTCGTACCTTGCGATATTTTGGAATACTTTTGATACTACCGATCACTATCGCGATGACGGCATACTATATACTATAACAATCCGTTAGCGGTATCACATAGGAGAAGATTGGAGAATGAATAAACATTTTTTTTTTACTTATTGTGTGTGTTAGTATTTTATTATCTTGTTTTTGTAAACAATCAAATCAAATAAATGCCATAAAGAGTTTTTCGATAGCTACATTGTATGTATAAGTTTATATAAAATTGAAAATATTTTCTTTTTATGCAAAAAAAAGAGTTATAACTCTGTTATACTTACATATATATATTACACATATAATATATATATATAATCAATGTATACAAATGGGAATTTGAAAATAATAAAGATGTTAACGTAATAATAATGTTTAGCGTAAGTGAGAGAGGGATATATAATGATAATTTTAAAATATTTTTATTAATTAACAACAAGCATTAATCACATGTTTGTTACAGGAAGGATTAAAAAATGTTTATATAATATAGTCACATATATTAAATAATTTTTACAAGTTAATAGCCACCGTTAAATTTAATACATATAAGAGGATATAATATATATATAACTTGTTATTAATACATAAGAAACAATAAGGTAAATACAAATATATTTATTTTTGAAGCAGACACATACAGGAACACGTAAAAAGGTTTAAAGATATAAAAATATTCAAAAGTTTAAAAATCATGGAATCGAAGGATTTTACGATCACAAAGTTCGAGTATATAATTTACAAAAAGATCTTAAAATTTAGTAAAACTGATTAAAAATGCAAGAAATCTAATAAAGAATCTTATATACGGCATTTTTAATTAATTTTACAGAGATTATAAACTTTATTGTTTCAAATTTTAAAGTTGGAAGTCTAAGAATAAAGTAATATATATGTTTTGATTATTTGAAAGCTTTTAAGTCCACAATTTTTAAATTTAGCTTTTATCACATGCAACAAATGGATAATACACTATTGTAAATTCCCACTGTGGATTTCATGTTGTGAATCAAATTATACATACATATTCTATGCAGGTTTTTTGAGATACAGGTTTTTAATTTAATGTTGATATTATGGATAGTTAAAAGTTTGCGTAAAAATTAAAAATTCGAAACAATTAATTCCGAGCAGAATTTGGCAGAAATAATATGAGTAGTAATAATTTTGGAGCTCTCTCCAAACATTCCGCATGATGAAAAGCTGCGATTTGAAGTATATATATATGTATTTGTTGTGGGTGGGGATACCATTCGCGGCAGCAGTGACGATTTAGTCTTGCTCCCAGCCTTATTCTGGTCAGTTCTGGCTGGAGTTACGGAAATGAGTGGAGTTTATATTGGTTGATAAAAGTTTATCACTTAATAAACGTTCTAAGACTAATAAAAAAAGTGTAAATCACAGCGAGAACAATTGAACAGGTGAACAGTTCTAACGGATATTAAAAATTCGATCTCATGAAATTAAAAATTTCTGTATCGATTCGCTTGATTATACTTACAAATTTGTAAATTCTAAATCTTTATTATAAATTATTATTAAAAAAATTGTGGTAATATTTTTTTTTAATTTTCGATGTCGTTACTCGTATGGAATGTATGTAACAAAGACACAATAAATTCCAGCACTTCGCAGCGGTGAATATAAATAGCTGAGCATGTAAAAAAAATCGGTGTGTTTACTAGTCAAAGATAAGGACAAATGATGATCGATTGTAGAAGCAGGAAGTTATTGAATGGCACATTTATACACGAAAGCTATTTTAATATCCACACCCATACAAGGGTTTTTCTCAAAAATAAAAAATCTCATCGTGGCGTCAACATAGAATGACATCATAAATACATTGCAATAGTTGCAATGTCAAGCAGAAATTTGAAACGCGATTACACCAACACGGTGGATTTTGGCACCCTAGGTATACGACTTGATTTGGAATCTCTATATTATACTTAGAGATGCAATTTGATTTGAAGGTCGCTTGCAGCATCGAGGTTCTGTAGATGCGCGTCTAACAGACAATCTAATGCCAATGATAAGTGACAAAATGATATCATTCTGATCCATGACATACGTTACGTATACGCATCGCGTGCATTTAAAACAGATTTAGCGCTTTTTTTCTCAGAGATTTAAGAGTCCAAACTATTCTACCAGTATAAAAAATTGATAATTTTTAGAAATTTGTTTGAAGAATATTAAAAATTGATTTTTTTTATTTTTTACATATGTTTTTATTATTTTCATGCATTATTAATGTTTAAATAATATGTCAGTATTTTTAAATGTTAGATATTTAGCTTTTTTTGTTCAATACGAGTCTTTGCGCGTAGCATGTTTCAAAATGCATAGTTTGATGATGTAAGATGCTGCTCCTCGTGTAATTGTTTGAAATGAATAAACTCGGCCTATTTTTATTCTTTAGTATATTTATGGGATACTGAACCTAATTTTATTAGATCAAATTGAAAAGTAACAAAGTAATGTTATTTTAAAATTAGATATTTGCAGGCCCAATTCTATTTAAAGTCTTATAACCCCGTCAATTTAGCAACTTTTCCAATAAAATTTGAAAGATGTGTTCTTCAAACATCATACTTTCAGAAAATGTAAAAAAAACAACTATTTTTTTGTCTCTAAAAGTAGACTGGGCCGTTAGCAATGCTTTTGACATTGCGTGAAACATAGGGTATTGTTTTATTTTTTAGGGTGTCGTTTTAGTTTATTTATTTTATTCATACATTTGTATAGAACATCTAATTCTCTAAATTTGAAACATTCGGACAATTTCCGCGTGCAATTCTCTTCCTGAATTTCGGCAGAAGGCAGCTGTTCTGTGATGGAACGCAATTTCAAAGATGCGGGAGGGTGACTGCGTGCTTCCCGGGGCGAGAAGATCGATAGAATACATGCGCGTCTGGTCGTGTCGCGACGCGGACGAGTTCTCCGAAACGCAACGCAACGCAACGTAACGCAAAATCTGCAATCCGTTGTCGAATTTTGACGCGTTAAAAGTACGCAAAATTGTTTTTGAGATACGCTTTTGCGACGAGCTGAGATCGCGCGAGACGCGTTAATCTTCTTCTTGTTCTTCGAGCTCGACGCTACCCCGAAACGTCATCGTCGTTTACGACGGAATTAATATCAACGCGCATACTGACCTAGAAACGCTAAACGGATCGTCATCGTTGCTTCTCCCCTAGTAGCCAACAGGCACGGTGAGTTTATTCTCTCGATCGAACTGCGGAAATAATAATATAGGCATTTGTAATTGAATAACAATCTCCGAGTATATAGAGAAAAATGTGCCCGTCGAACGGTATTGTTATGGTGGACGGCATCTTCGAGTGTTTCATATTTGATCGCGATGATATTACTTAATCAACATCGCACTTTGACTGACCGATGACGCTAATTACGTTAACGCACCGATGCTCGTAATGCCTATTTATAGGCGTGAAATAACGTTATCCCCACACACTGTTTTCCTGCGCACCGCGTTCTGACATTTTGACAGATACGTGTATTCACGCTTGCATTTACTATACACTTACATTATATAATGAATTTATATTTTATATTATTTATATTTTATTAGTTTATATTTTTAATTTATTTGATTAATTTTATACTATTAATATATTAATTTTTTATTTTAAAACTATTTATAAAATAAATTAAGATATCTGCCTAAACAGAAAAATATATTACAAAATTATTATCAAATATAATATAATATAATCTAAACGAACACCTCAACAGACATTTTGTTGCATAAATGTGACCAGACTTGAGATGTTTATTATGCGGTGTCAGTCTCGGCCGTACGTATTTACAGCATACAACCACATGTTGGCCCTGAATAAATTTTTCTATAGTAAGATAAACGTTAGACATTTCTAATAATCTGCAGCCATTTTTAGACAGATGAAAGCTAAGCGATGTTTTATTTTATGAAATCTCGTGTAGTGTAGATATTTATAAATAATAATAAGTATGAATCTGCAACGAATAGCTATATATTTTCTCTTAAAAATAATTATGGATTTTTTCTACACTAATTGTTTCCCTTCATTATTTTGTGCTTAAAAGTATTGAGGTAAGATAATCGATAAATTAATATTCTATGAGATATTTCATAATTTATATAAAATTATGTCAAAAATTAAAGTACATATAAAATATTTCGTGAACTATTCAATTTTTGGTCCATCCTATTCTTATAACTTTTTACGCCGAAGATTGCGAAGAATTTATTTGTACAAAAAATTAGAATGATCCCATTCAAAAAAACTAAATTGACGTTCACATATCTTGAGAAATTACCTTAGTTAAAATTCAAGATTATCGACATTTTTCCCTATAAATTTTCAAAACTCTATAAATTTTGTCTGAAACATTTATTTGTGACACTTTATGCGATAGAAAACATTTTGTAACACTTTATGCGAAATATCCCGTATATGTAACTTTTAATCAATCTTGCAGAGATAGCTTTTAGATAAATAGCTTCGCTGATGACATTGATAAAGTAAATAAATTTATCGTACGCCTAAAATCTTATCGTAATGGCTTTTTCGCAACAAATATATCAAAAATTACTACTAATCAAGACTACTGTTTGATGAAACGAAAATTATGGCTTTTCTTACAATTGTAATGTCGATTAGTAACACGCCGGTACTAACCCTGAGAAAGAATATGTATAATGAATGAAGACGCAACAGTTGGGTAGACATTGACTCATCGATTTTATTATCTAGCGATAGACAAAAGAAATAGTACACACATTTTTTAATAAAAACTAGTTCAGCAAAGAAGTAGAATTTATGAAAAAATAACAAATAATAAAATAATTTCGATTTTATTTTTAATCTCTTTTTTTCCAATTTTTCATCACCATATAATCAAAATTTACATGATATAAATATTGCCTTTGATCTGTGACAGTTATGGTATATTCAACTAAGTGAACGATTAATTTTTAGCGATCACAATGCAAGCGGAGAAGAATGATACCGATACTGAGAAAAATGAGGTTGTCAACGACGTCACGACGACTTCTGTCGCGAATGAAGTTACGAATTTGAAGATCGAAGACGGTTCAACGAGTTCGACGCCAAGTAGTCCCGGTGCTACCGAATCGGGTAGCTTTTTAACGAGCTTCAAAGCGTTCTCCAAATTCGGTGATCCAAAGAGCGACGGCAAATTGATTACATTAAGTCAAAGTGACAAATGGATGAAGCAAGCAAAGGTGATTGATGGAAGGAAGATCACTACCACGGATACGGGAATTTACTTCAAGAAGCACAAGTATGTCTCTCAAAAAATTGATTTCATTATATTCATTTTATTGTTATCTTTCTTGTTCTGAAGTTGCGATTAATGTAATTTGATTATTAAATTCATGTCGTTTACTTACATAATTAAGTATATTTTAATATTTTTATTATATCAAATTATAGATCTACAAAACTCGGTCTTGAACAGTATAAAGCGTTCCTCGACGAACTGGCCAAAAGTAAGAAAGTGGAATTAACGGAAATAAAAAAGAAGATGGCCAACTGTGGATCACCCGGAGTTACTGGCTCCAGCGCAGTGCGTATTAAACTTATTTATCTGACTTTACATTTTAACATCATTTTAACAGGATTCACGTTTAAATTTTACTATATACTCGATATTAGACCTGTACAATTCATCTTTTTTTCGATTTTTGATTTAATCAGTAAAAGGTCGCAAAGATTTCATACTAACAATAAGAAATAATGTATTTAATACATATAAAAAATAATTAGTTGCTAGCAGCCACATTGGATCTGCTATTTTTAATATTGCAATTATAATATATACCATAGATTCGTAATCAGTGACTTCATAAATTTTAAAATACTGAATTTTTTACTGGAATAGAAAAAATATTTTTTAAAAATAAATATATATTCTGTTTAAAGATTCATCTTTCATCACGATTTTTATCGTAATATGGATCAATGATGTTTTGCGGTTCAATTTTTCTATAATCTCGTTTTAACACGATTTATAGGGTGGAAAGGCAACATCGACAGTCGACAGATTAACTGACGTGAGTAAATACACCGGCTCCCATAAGCAACGTTTCGACGAAACCGGGAAGGGTAAAGGCATAGCAGGTCGCAAAGACGTATCAGATCAGTCCGGATACGTTCAAGGCTACCAAAATAAAGATACGTACAGCAAGGCCCATTAATATTCATCTTTCGATGATAGATATCTTTAAAGACACGTTGTTGGTCTGACAGATATCTCGAAAAAAATCTATCAAATAAAATTGACACGTACTAGGATGGCAATATTGCGCTTAATAACTTTTGCCAGATCGCTGACAATACATTTGCAGCAATTGTACTCTTACGATACTTCCACTCTTGATATTCATGTTGCATTTTTTACGATTAAATTTTCCGACACACAAATTTCTGAGAATGTCATTTTTTTTTTTTTTTTATAACTAACTTATTCGGTTAACACTAAATCTACTTATTCTTTGCAATTCCTCTATTATTTCTAGATATATTTCTTGTTGTTCTCTTTGTTCAACTTCGTTGATTACTAGATGATAAGAATAATACTAGTTTGGGTTTTTTATATTTTTATTTATTTTGTTTGTGGGATTTTTGAGAGAATGTAGAGAATATATATAGTTTAATATATATAAAACTACTAATAAGTATATTCACAGTCTACTTATATATATTTATATATATAAAGTCTAAGTTATATACGTAATATAGATGATAATGTTTAGTATTGTGTCAATAATTTTTTTTCCACACGCACACGCATAATTTGTTAAGAACAGATTCTTTAAAATTTTTGCACAATTTAATAAAGCAAACGGATACAATCAATTTCCATACAGAACATGTTTACCGTTACAACTGTACAACATGTATAAGGCAAAATTATATGGCATTTATTATGAACAATGCACAAACTTAAATTTTTGTGTTAAGCTAATATATACATGCGACTATTGTATATAAATAAGATATACATAAATCTCTTGAACCTGAAAAACTAGTCATGCTTAATTCTCTCAATTGTACCTATATATATATATAGTATATATATATTGATTATCGATTTTATTTATATAAAAGATAATATACTTGTCCTTCGATAAAATGTAATAAACATAAGCACGAAAATTGTCTGCTATACAAGATAATATTGATCAAAAACATTGATATATATGTATACATGTAAGTAGAGGTAAAAATATTTAATGTATAATTGGACAAATTATTTTCTACTATATATATGTATAAAAAATATTTTTCTGCATATTAAATATTAATTAAATATATTGAAACAGCATCTCGTTCTCTAACAATACATCAACTATACACATACACGGAGTATACGATGTTAAGTTTTTTAACGCCGTTACTTTTTTAAATGTAATATCTATATATAACTAATTGTAAATGAAGTGTACTTACTGTATCCTTACCGATGCATTTGAGCTTGTGGCACATACACATTTAAGACCAAATTTTGTAATTTAAATCTTATACAATTAGATGTCGGCGCATTTAGTTGTACACTATCGAACTTTGTTTCGCTAATAATTTTCGCATACGAATTATATATATATAAGAATTACAGTCGCAATTTCCTGTTTTCTATCCTTTCTTTATTATATTTCCTTTTCTCCAATTCAGCTATGTTTTTCTAAACTAACTTTTCCCTATGGTGCTTTTTCAGGACGACCATTTGCCACATCATTACTATGTTAGAGTAAAAAAGACAAAAGATAACATGTATATTGATGACCTCACCTATCAACAGCATAGACATATATGTTAAATTACAAATATCATAAAAAACTAAAAATTTTTTTTTATTATTGCAATGATAAATAAAAAAGGCTTTTTTTCCGCGATGTTGATTGATTATTTCGACGCTGCTAAGTGACGCATTTGACAGTTTAAATATTAAGTATGTGTGTAATTTCAATTTAATTGATTTTGAAAAAATAGGGTTAATATGTAAGTAATTATACACACACATCTACACACAAAATAAATGGTACGCGCATAACGCGCGCTTATAGTGTTCTAGTAATGAAAAAAATGCGCAAACTATATCCTCAGTAATTATCTTTTATTGTGGCAAGATGATTTAATTTTCAATTTTTATGTATAAAAAGCCAAAAATAAAAAATTTTATACATTATATTTTTTTTTCTTCTTATAATATTTAAATTACTTATACCATATTATATTAATATTACTTAATTTTTTATATTACTCTCACATATGATTTTATTTTATTTTTTTTATAGATATAATCTATGAAGAGAAAAGAGAGATATTCTCTCGAATACGCTTGTGTGGGCATTTAACTAGTAGCTTGGATATTTAATAGTGTTAATGTAATATTTAAAACTCTATGTAATCGTTTTGTCAAGGTATGTTGGTATAAAAGTAAAGAGATCCATCTTAATAAAAAGTTAATTTATTTGACACCATTGTTCATTATGACGGAGTCAATAACATTCGATATAAATGTTTTTCAATTGGTCAAGGAACTCGGAATTTTCGCGACACCTTATATACGCTTGGCAAGATGTAAATATTATTAATATTACTGCGAGATGTTAATAATATCGCATTTTTCTCATGTCTGGAGTGAGGATGTCTGTGACTATTTTATAGCTGAAAAATTAAAAATTATTATATATGATTTATAATTATATCATATGCGCGTTCCACGTTCAATTTATTAATAAGAATGTTGCACTATAATATATATTTTCTTTTTATAATATATAAAATACTGATATCAAAAAGCAAGTTGAATAATTTATTTAAATTAGAATGACACTCCATAAGGCTAATTATGCTGTGTATTACGCTGATATAATACACAGTGATTGTATATATACAGTAAAACCTTGTATAGAGAGCGTGATATTTCTATAATGGGTAAATCAGCTCCATATAATACAATAGATAAATTTCAAATTTTGTGAAAAATTTAGTTTCTTTTATAATAAACAACATATTTTCCAACTGTACATACCACATTGTATAACGTGGAATCGCATTAAACAGAATATATACCCCATATTATACGAGGGTCTACTGTATATATTTTTATTCAATTTATATAATTGAATAAAAATCATACAATATTTCACTCCAAAAAATCATACAATATATCATATAATATTTAAGCTCGCATCATAATAGAAGGCATCGGACATCTTTTGTGCGTTTACAATTAATATTCAAACAAACAACATTTTAATCAATGTTTTGCCAGCTATATAAATACCAAGTATTCTACATGATAATAATAATTGACAATCTCAACGTATCATCGATTGATATATTACAATTTGTTTTTAATAAAATGATGATATGTAAATGATGGCAATTTGATCGGCGAATTTTACCGGACAATGCTGTTAAATCGGCACGCTTTTGTTACAGCTATTTTCATAAGCTCTAAAAATACTTTTACTTGGCAAGATCCGTAGATGTAAAAATACTGAAGAAAAAAATTTTTCAAGCACATCTTACAGAATAACGCGTACAATTCGTAATAATATAGCTCAACCATCGTAGAGTCTTTATTCAAAACTGGCTTTTAAGCATACAATTTATTTTGCGTATTAAATATAATATAAATATATCCATAAGAGATTGTAAAATATTGTAAATTTAAAAGTAAGCTTCAAATGTTAGAAATCCGCGCGCGAATCGTTTAACACCTATATCTTTGATTATATATTTTTAATAAAAAAGAGAAGCTCTTTCTCTTTTTTTTCTAACACAGGACGTAAATTTAATCGAATCAAGCTTTTGTGTTGAATTCTCTGAGCAACGCTAAGGATTAAATATCTATATAATAAGTTATTCGAATGTATATAGTGAAAGTATGTAAAAGCCGCGCATTAAGAGCGCCATTGTGTCAGAGATGTATTTATGATACAGAGGCATCTCAATATTAAAGATATAGTTTCCTAATTTTTCACAATAAGTTGTCGTTGCTATCACTCAATAAGCACAAACGCAGAGTAAAAGACCTTTTAGATCTTTAGGAAAGTTAAAACTTGGATAAAGCTTGTTTGACCATTTCGTTAAATACGATCGTAAATTGCATCATGGATTATAACAAGCGTAAATTATCATTATTTTTATTATTTTATTATCGCGCTTGTGATCGAATTGATTTGTATAGACTTAACTTATTCGAATATTTTAATTCAAGTAACGTTATAACTCCGTAAGAGTATCCACTGATGCTCGAAGGCGCGATCTGGCAATATAATCTTCGTGCCCTTTATTGGTTCCAGTACCATCGATCCGAGAGATGATCTCGTCTTTCAGGGCTGCGAGTACTCTACGATCTTGTCTGTTGTGAACCGGCACGTTTTGAAGAGCTTCCTGAACGTCCGATAAGGCGTCCTCGAACAAACCTAAGTCCACGCGAGCCTTAGCTCTGGCATAGAACGCTTCATAAGAAACGGAACGGACGCCGAGAGCTTCGTCGGCGAGTTCGATGGCTTCGACACATTCCTGTGGAAGAAACGCATTACATCGATGTAAAACCAAGAATAAATTTGTTAAGATCTAGATGACATTCAAATTTAAGCAGTATCAAGAAATCTTGTATTATACTAACGTTCATCTTGCGCTTGCATCGGCTGAGATTTAGAAGGAAATTCAATCGGAGCTGTGTAAAGGTTTGGAGCTGCAGCATCATGTGACCTTGTTCTTGCCCCTGGCAATCTTCTTCCGGTGAGGCTGGAAATTTTCTAAGAGCATACGCGTATCGATGCGACGCTTCTTTCAATCTATTCTTCCGATACAAGACATTGCCGTCTTCTAAAAGTTTATTCAGCAGAATTATTAAAACGTCCGGTTTTCCCGCAGCCATAGCCCACGTGGCGGGACCCAGTTTAGCGCCACGACGCAAAAAACATTGGACCACCGGAATATTGCGACATCCGATAGCACGATCTAGAGGACGCATGCCGTGAAGATCGACGTGTTCTACCGCGGCTCCCTTCTCAAGTAACAGCTGTACTAGTTTTGGATTACCCTGTATATAATTTTGTATGTAATTATGTGAATATCAGAGATCGCAAGATCGCGAATACATATGATAATGATATATTTGCGTGTATAAATAAAATAGACTCTACCTGGAATGCGGCCAAATCCAAAGGAGTCCTACCAGTATTGTCGTTCGTACCAACATTGGCGCCGCGATCGAGCAACATCTGTACGACAGTTACGCGTCCTCTAACGCAAGCCCAGCCGAGGGCAGTGAGTCCTTCCTTGTCTCTCGTTTCTAAAATCGATCCTTTATCGAGAAACAGCTCGATAAGATTGGTGTGGCCTTCGGAAGCGGCCAGCATTAACGCGGTACGACCAGCGGGATCGCGTTGTTCAAGGAGCGATACAGCTTCGTCCAATATTGCGTCCGTGCTGGTGGATAAATCTCCTGGGAAATAATTCAACAATTGTAAAGCCAATCTTTCGGATCGCAAGTACAGTTTGATGATTTCAATCACAAGTTATACTATAAAGAAAAAAGGAACAAACCTTGCAAAAGTCGCTCAGCAGTACCCCAATGTCCTTCCTTGGCGGCGAGCATGAGAGGGGAGAGGCCTTTCGCGTTTACAGCTGTAGGATTAGCACCGCGGGCTAAAAGTGCGGAAACTGTTGCGGTCGAGCCATTCGCGGCGGCGATCGTTAGAGCGGTCTCGCCTATCAACGTATCGGGACGATCTACAATCACTTCGGCCATGTCTAAAAGATATTCCACGACAGCTTCGTGACCCTGCGAAGCGGCCGCGACGACGGCTTGCTGGGCGGCTTCCTCTCTGCCTATTTCCGAGGTAACGCTTTCCGGTCTATTTTCACCGGTTGGCAGGACCCAGTCGCAAGCAAGAAGATATCCAACCACGGACAGTCTTCCGTGCTTCGCCGCATGCACCAGAGGACATTGGCCAGCCATGTCCGCGTGTCCTAACAAGGCTCCAGCGGCAGCCAATCTGTCAAGTACATAACAGTAAGCAACTGCATTGTTTTGAAGATTTAAATATAAAGCTCTACCTTCTGACAACGTCGCAGTGTCCTCGGGCAGCTGCCAGCGATAATGCCGTACACCCTTGGCTATTGGTCAGTTCGACATCGGCGCCGAATTCAAGAAGGAGAGATACCATCTCGACGAAACCCTCGTGTGCATACATGCATAAAGCCGGTGCGTTACCCAAATACTCGGTGATATGGTTCGGTGATGCGCCCGCCAGCAGGAGCAACCGCGACACTTTCACATTTGGACTGTAGATATTCCGAAGCGTGCATAACGCCGAGGAGATGCATTCGGTCGACAGAGTCAGCCAGATAGCCTGTGGATAAATGGAGCTTTGTTAAGCTTTCAAGTACGTTATATCATGTATTAATTGTATACCTACTTGTAAATCGCGCGAAGGCCAGCACGGAGCTACGCCTCTATAAACGTGCGCCTTCAATACATGATGACCCAGTTCCAAGGCTTTGTCACCGTCTAACGGCGCTTGAAGGCGGGATAGTCTGAACGCTATCGCCGCGTGCCCGAGTCTGTAGTCACACAGGAACTTTGTCGATTCCCCCTCGTCTCTTCTCATCAACCATTCCCTGAACGATGGATGGAAGAACATGTAGGTATTGTCTAGACGTTTCACAAGGAAACCAGAGAGCATCTGATAAAAGAAAAATATTGTTACATTAAATGGGCGGGCTTATACACGTTGCAAAAACTTGTATAGCGTTTACACTACTCTACGCAGTTCAAAAATACAAATAATTGTTAAATCACACGTCAACAAGTAATGCTAAACATTTAATAATTGACAACAAAATAATTATTTCTTTTACTTGTTTCAAAGATATATTTTTAATATCTAATTTTTAAATATTTTTATTTTCAAATTACTGCAAGACTTAAGTGATTTCGACATCATCAGAAGAAAGTTAGAGACAGATAAAAGAGAGAGAAAGTACACTTTTTTATATAGTTATTAGTTTTTAAAATTATCATTTTTTTAATCACATTAAAAAAAATATCATTTATTAACCATATTGGTCAAAAAAAATAAAATGTATAGATATATTATAATATATTCAAAATATACTTGCCTTAAATCTCTGTAAAAAGTCTTCCCATGAGATAAAATGGTCCACATTTAAAGAATTTACAGAATAAAAAATTTCAGGTAAGGTCAGTGGATACAGAGCTGCCAAACAGACGGCCAGAAGAGGTTGCACTTTATCGAATGAGGCTACCGTAGGAAATCTTAAGTTAAAATGTAACTGAAAGATCTGCGCGAGAGAGACCGGTAATACCTAAGAGATAAAATATGGTTCGTTATACACTTTATTCTTTTTTTTCGATATCATTTTATAATACAATCAAGAAACAAAACAACGATTTGTATAATTTACGATCACGTTCTGATTACGATTAAAATATATCCTCGCATATTTACCTTATAGCTCGCAGATTTAGCGACTAAATGGCCGCTCTCGATAAGATCGAGCGATAGCTTGGCGAAGAGGAAGCTGCCTTTAGCTAGCGCAAGCAGATGCGATGCGAATCTCGTCTGATTCGCACTGCACGATGATTCCGCCTTGCCGTTCACCGACGCAGTCACGTTCGCCTGTATGGAGGGACTTTGCGCGAGTCTGTAACCGACATAATCGGACAGATCTTTCGCGATACTGTTACCAATCGCGTCATTTGCAGTCTTGTCTAACGAAACTCTCGTGTATGGCAATTGCTTCGCGCAATCCAGCAACTGCGTCCTGACTGTGCAAACAATCTTCAACCAACTGGGAATGTTAGGTGCATGCCTCGTCAGGAAAGAAGCTATAGTATCGCCTCTATCTGGCCTGTGATATTCCGCTTCACAAACGGCATCGATTAATATTACCTGGAAATAAGATGAATAACGCTTATGACATAATATAATGTTATGTTTTACCAAGCTTCTGTCCGTCGACGAAGAGACAATTGTAGGTTCAATATGTTAACTCGCGATTTACCTACCATATTGGAGACTGGTAGTCTATTAGCTTTCTTCAAGGTCGAGAGTCGACGGTGCATTCCCTTTGCGATAGCGAGCCCTGAAGGTGAGGTTCGGACAATAGATATTCCCTATACGAGATCAATTGAGGAGCCTGGCAGAGTTGTGCCGCTAGCGAGTGAATTAAATCCGGCACTAGACAGGTACTATTGTTGTCGGCTTGACAAAAGTGATATGCCACGACGTGCGAAGCTAATTCGCGAACCTATAATACGATATGATCGTGATTTGTATCTTTTTTATAAAGGTTACAAATTGAGGGAAACGCCCTTAAATGCTCCTCACCTTTTCGTTGGTATGTCGAATATTAGCTTGAAGAGTCGCGTTATTACTCTGCCTCTCCTTCTCATCGCATTCCTCACTCATTTCCGAGGATCTTCCCAGCTGTTCCCTTCTTCTCCCGAAACAACTGTGTTCCACCAACTGCAGCACAAGCGCGGTCTTTCCCGTGCCCGGCGATCCGGAGATCAGAATGCCGGGACTAGAGCCATTGATCACAGATTCCAATTCGTGTAACAGCCATTGCCGTCCGGCGAAAAGCGGATCCTCCTCTAATAACGGCACTTCGAAGAACAACGGTTTCAGGGTCAACTGAGCCGCGTGATGCTGAACGAAACGTACTGGAATTTTAACGCGTACGGATCTTTATTACATTACTTGACGTTCAAATATTTATACGTATAACGCATATAAAAAACGAATTATTACGTTTAGCGTCCGCCGGACCCTTAACATTGCCGGCTCTCGCTGATCTCCGGGCGCAAGACCGTCTGTTCCTCAGCTGGCCAAGTTCATCGGTCTGGCCCGTCTGCGCGGCATTGGCGGAGTGCCTTCTAGACGCGAGCGGACTCGAGCCGCTACCGTTCGAGAGACCAGAAACGGACACTGACATAGACATGGACATAGACGTGGACGCGGATAATGACGTGGAGATGGACGCCAAGCTGCCGGCGCTGTCACAGTCCCTGGACTTGGTCTTTCCCTTGGCCTTGGCCTTTGGTTTGACGGGGCATCGCAATGCCGCGGCGGCCTCCGCTTCGCTTGACGTGCCCGTCAACGTCGAGACCGGACTCGTATTCGTCGAGGCCAGTGTCTGCGTCTCGAAGCTGGTCAGACTGCTAAAAGAGGCTGCTGAGCTATCATGTCCCTGGGCTGCTGGGGCTCGCGAGGAGGGACACGCACCCGATTCCGCGCTCGCGTTCGCTCGACCGGATCCCAACAGCAGGCCCAGTCTCATGTACAGATCCGATTGCGACGACTTCCTGGTTTTCGAAGACAACGGTTTCACGCAACCGCCCTCGTCATCTGCAAGACAGAGAAATTTGTTAGGAATACCGTCGATATAAAACCATATTGATCCAATCTACGAATCCAGAAGGTGTTGATCCGAGGCAAATGCTTTGTATTCGAAAATCAATGAAAAAAACAAAAATCACACTCTACTCAAGCACATTTAGGCGAACACGTTATCACGACAAATTCGTTTCGAATTGATGCAAGCTACAGTTGTGACTGTTTGTGCAATGTTGCACGGCAAATATATTCGTAAACATTTTGCTATATAGATCTATTTTTATTCTTCGCATTCGCCTAAATGTATCGTTGTGATTTAATACAATGAGCACGCTGCAAAACATGAGAAAACGAATTCTACTTCCAGGCATTTCAAATACGTAATAATACAAAGTAAAAAGTACTTTGAAAATATCGCATATCTTGTCGAATTATTATTTAGCCATTTTCAATTTTCTATTCTTTGTTTGGAAAACTTGGATTTTAAATCTGTGCAAATACGAAAATCTGTGATTTAACTTGAAAATTAGTTATGAAAATAGGAAATGCAAGGATACATTTACAGAGGATATTACTATCTGGGTCTCGACCAAAGGGCAAAGAGTCACGAACTGAGACGATTCTGACAAAAGCAATCATAATGAAAAAAATGGCAAACTGTGCGTATATCATGCTCCTAAAATAAGGCGCTACGAAAAATGTTATCGCGAAAAGAAAATATTCGCGCAAGCGAACACTACGTGCCGCGTGAGAGACTCGCGCGTGATAACTCTTAAAGATCCGTCTACTATATATAGCAGTATGAAAAATTGATGATTTTCAGGAATTTTTTTTTAAGAATATTAGAAACTGATCTTTTTGACGTTTTACATATGTTTTTATTGATGTTTAAACACCACGTCAGTATTTTTAAATCTTGGATATTTAGCTTTTTTTTTCTTCAATACAAGTTCCCACGCGTGTTCGAAAATGCATAGTTCGACTGTATGATATGTTACTTCTCGTTTAATTATCTAAAATGAATAAACTCGGTCTACTATTATTTTGCAGAATATTTATGGGACACTGAACCTAATTTCATCAGACAAAATTAAAAAATTACAAAATAGTGTCATTTAAAAATTAGATATTTCAATTTTGCAGAAATTTATTCATTTCTTGAAAAATATTTCCAGAAAAATATTAATTTTTTAAATTCTATTTAGATTATAACTCCATCAATTTTCCAAATTTTTAAATAAAATTTGAAGGACATATTCTTGAAACATGCTTTCAGAAAAAATAATAAAAAATCGATTTTTTGATTTTCTAAAATAGACTGGATCCTTAAGGTTTTTCCGCATTCATTCGCAAACTCCAAGCATTTCAAAAATGTTTTAACAGTTTTAGCAATACACATGGAATTCGAAAGAGTCTCCCTGCCTGCGACTTTGCTCGACGAGCCGATGAGCTGATTTAGCCCGTCGCTAGCTGTGCCTTGACTGCTGCTCCAGAGAGACTTGATCTTTCCCAGGACAACGCCGGGCCATCTCGCTTTTCCCTCCAAGGACGAGGTCATCCAAACTGCATGCGCGCGTGTGAGTTTTTACGTGAGATTTATAAAGATATTCCACGCGACTTCAATCGCTAAATTTTCTCTTCGAGCAAGCGTGACATGTAAGTAAATTTATATTTTATTTTAAAAAAGGAGATAATTATACCTGATAACGCAGAAGGATTTTCATTCACGGTCGGTTCGGGCGAGGATGCTGTACGTCTCGAGGATCTCTGGGCGGCGAAGGAGCTTCTGAGCACTTTCGGGTTGAAGAAGAATCTTTTTCGTTGATTCGGCGGGGTGGGACAACCTACAAATTTTACGTTATTAATAATAAATATCTCGAATATACACACAAGATATATTTCAGATTATACACCTCAACATACTTTGTGTCATTTCAAGTTTTTGTTGACCTTGGGAGATAGAAGGATCTGGAAGCTCTGAAGGTTTGCTTCTCAAGTTCTTCCCCATCGTTATCAACGAGAGATTTTCTACCCCGGCTCGCTGCTGAAAATAAAGTAATAAATGATTAACAAGATAAGGTAATTTATTGGCAACTTGGTATAGTATGATAACCGAGAAAATAATGAAATGTGTTTTCTTTTAGCATCGCCTCTCTCTAATCATATGAATATTATACATTAGACAATATCTTTTTTCAATTAATTGCAGATTAACTAACAAAAATAGATGACAAATTTCATATCTAAAAATGTATGAGATATATATATAAGAGATATAATATTAGAAAAATACTATTAAGAAAAGAGTACACACACACATAAAAAATCTTATTTAATTGTTTCATTGTTTCTTCTAAATATCGGTTTAAAATTTATTTAATTCCAAATAATACAAATTTAAAACACACACTAATTGTTTTTTTTTTGCTACTAATATATGCTTCATACATTCTTAAAAATTATCATAAATATTTAAAATATATATTTTTGTACGAACTTCGATAAAGATAAAAACATAGTGTTCTACTTGATCAAAAAGACAATATTATAGATATGAAATTTTCCTGGAACAACACTTTAGGAAGCAGAAAAATTTTTTTTCTTTGAATATCTCCAACTTATTTAAAGCTACTTAAAAGAGACAGCACGTCATAAAAGAGAAGTGAAGATCTGTCGTATTAGTTTTCCTTTCCGTCTTCGCGACAATAGACTTACGTGCATAACCCGCGATGGCAGATTAGCCCTCGTGGTGATTTTGGTGCGTGGTAGCCTGGGGCTGCCGCAGAGAGAATTCACCGTCGATGACTCATCGAGCCAACCGTCTGTGGGCGCGAAAACGGACAGCGGTGCCGTGGAAGCGGCGAACTCGTCCCTGAGAGTCGGTTCCTCCAGTCCGTCATCGTTGTTGAGATCGTAGCCGTGCAAGCAGAGCGGACAGGCCTCGCTGCGAAACAGGCAGGAGTAGCAACGCTCGTGACCGCAGGAGTCGATCAGACGACGTTTCTTGCCCTTGTCGAACGGCATCTCGCAGGACGGACACGTGGATCCGCCCAGCATCCCCGTTGACTCGACCAACGCTCGTATCTGCGCCAGGTCTGCAAACGAGCGCGCAATCATTTCACATTTTCTCATCTCGATTATTAACTCGAAGATACAACGCGAGTTCTTTCGAAATATCTTTGTAAATTCGATGAAAGAAATATACAGGGTGGAAAATATCCATTTGTGCTAGGGGTCCAGAGAAAAGTATAATGCATGTAGGAAGTCTAAAATTTTATTTAACACAAGCTTATGTGTCAGTAGTTAGCATTCTCTCCCGCAGTCTCTCTCACAGCCCTTAATCTTTTGGGATAAGATCTTAACTAAAAAAATGAAAAAAAAAATTAATTATTAATTTTATTTTTAATGTACGGGTTAAATAAAGTATTGAATTTCCCACACATGTTGCATTTTTTTCTCTGGATCCCTAAAATGATTATTTTCCACCCCGTATGAAGAAATAAACACAAGAGAGGTATATGAGAGAAACAAGAATATTCTCTTCCGCGAATCGAATCGAATCGAGTCAGTGTGCCACTTTATGAGACCGCTGGTCGTTTGACAGTAGGACCATCTGTCATGGTGAACAACCCGTTCGCAGCTCGGTATCTCGGAGAGACACGGTCCGCGTCGTGTCGAAGCAACGACAATGCTCGTTCATCACGAATGTGCAGATAAATTGAATAGAGCGCGAATCGGAGACGCCATATACTTTGAAGCGTTCTAGAAAGTAAGGTCAAGAGGGGATCCCCGCGCTTCTTCTCGATCGCGTTTACGTAGCCTAGTAAGTCTAACGCGTACTCTTCTGGATATCCTTGCAGATTTTATTCCCATTATCGCTTTGGCTGACAGAAATGCAAGAATTGGCAAAAAATTCTTTCGATTTTCAGACAAAAACGTATAGAAACGTATATAAATGCAAATATTTAATGATCATCTGTGCCTCTCTCCGCGAACAGAGATCGCGGACAAAGTGCGGCGAACAGGAAAACGGGAAGAGAGAAGGAAGTCGCACGACCCCTTCGTGCCGGTAACTCCGCGTGAGGCAGGTGCAACTACGCAGCCCGGGTTACCGTAAGCTGGGTCAACGCACTTGAGTCTGGTGCAGAGACCCCGCTTCCACTTGTAAACTCGCGCATCGGTGTCGTTTTCTCCGGACTGGCGCGCTTAACTGACTCATACACTCTCCTCGTCTCCAGTCGCGTTTCGTATTTAATTCAGTCGCGCGTTGATAGACGCCAATTGATGTCTATCGGATACGATATCGCTGGGCGATATCTGATCTATTCCAGAGTGTTCACTCTCTGGAAAAACATAGAAAACCTGATATTTTCAGAGATTTTTTTTGTATCTGAAAATATCGGAGATTCTTTTAGAATTTTATTGGGACTCTCAAGGAATTTTTTAAAAAATTTTCTGCTTTTATATTGTAAGCAGTCGACAATCCACCGATTAGCAAAGTTTTGAATTGTGCTCCGTTGCTCGTTATTACAATCTATTCGTTTTGTCTTTTCAATTGAGCTAATGAATTGTTACTGAAATTAAATTTAGATTAAAAAAGAGCAAAGCACCACATTTAACTCTATTCTTGAAAAATCGTCTAAAGAAAACCGATAATCTTATTGCCTTGTTAAATCGTGCATGGAGAAAGTCGCTTCCTTTCGGCATCGGTGTGTTATTGTTAAGTGGATCGATCCATCGATGTTTGTGCTGGCGCCGGTGAAACACGATATCACGATGCGGCATCAACAATTTTGCAACGACAATTCGGTGCGAATATTTAGTAGAGGCAGAGATTTTTGTGTGAGAAATATCATGCGTTCTCGAATAATATTTTCTGAAAAAAAAAAAAAAAAGAATTAAATTTTAAAAAATCTATAAAAAATAACCACATCAAATACACTCGAATTTGTTCGTCCGATTCATTCGTGACGACCGATGATATATGACGTGTCCAGTCGGCCGACATCGACTGGAGCGAGAACGGGGGCGATTAAAGCCTGTTCGCCAAGTGAGAGAATCAAGCGGAACGACATCCACACCGTGACCACCTGCTGGTCGACCAGCTTCCCCGTCTCCGTTTCCGTCCCCCGCGCTCTCTCTCTTTCTGTCTCTCTCTCTCTCTCTCTTTCTCTCTCTCTCTCTCTCTCTCTCTCTCTCTCTCTCTCTCTCTCTCTCTCTCTCTCTTCTCTCTCTCTCTCTCTCTCTCTCTCTCTCTCTCTCTCTCTCTCACATCGCCAAGAAGTGGAGTCGGACCTGCGTTCTCGTAAATTGGGTCCCACAGACGACCTGACCCGAATCAGTGCCCAGACTCACTGCCGGAAGCCACTGTTTCTTTCTCATTCGCCAACAGAAGCGATTACTGGCAATTTCGACGTAACTTGAAATTCGTGTCACGTTTTCCTCTCTGCATCCGTTCATCTCTATCAATTTAGTATAAGTATTATATGAATTTTAAATCATTGATGTATTATATTGTAGTTATTTTTTTACCCTCTTGTCGTGTTCTCGCTCAATAATATTTCAATGCTTTCGAATCACAAATACATATATACGTAATATTCAAAAAAATGACACGGTCGTTAAGATACATGTTGAAAAAACCAGACACCTTCGATAGATCTCGTACAATGATAACTGAAAACAGTAGGGGACGCGGGCCGAAGAACGGCAGTTCTCGCGCCCGTCGTTTCGGTTTCGACGAGTCACGTGTATTAATCGTTATTCGGTGCCTCCAGAGGAGTGAGAGAAAGTTACTCCATCGAGGTACTCGCCTACAGTCCTGTTGTGTTTAAAATCGATGCCTTCGATATACCGGGAGGCTATGAAATTTCACACTCAATCACATCGTATCACTTTTTAAAAATAAATCGTATGTGTGTAAAGACTATAGAACGCTATAATATTTAAAGTTCTATATAAATAAGATAATGAGTAATTCTCTCGTTTATGCGAGTTTTAATCCTAAGCATCAGTCCAGAATATTATTTTATATAACGGATTTATATGTATATCAAATTCTATTTTCTTCATATAAATCATATAAATTTTGGAAACAAACATCTGAAATATTTTTTGGGAAAAATAGATTTCCATATTTCTTACCGCATTATATGATCAGAATCGGGATCTTGGATTGAAAAGTTTAATGAAACCATTATCAGCGCTGAGTTTGCTGAATTATTTATCATGATGCCAGATATCTCAATTAAATTAAAACATATTTACCAGTTTCTACGAAATAATGAAGCTAATCGCCGGTGACGCCGTCGCTGATAAAGCACATTAGATAACTCAAGGAATCTCGTGGATCTCATACTTCATGATAGATTAAATAGTAGGAAAACTGGCGCTTATCGCTCAACCGCGCTCTTTTATGATCCAAAATGTAGCGCAACGTGACACTTTGTTCCCGCAATTATTAGCGTATTCCATAACGCGCGAAAATTTCTTTATTTTTGCACTCGCGTGCGAGACTGTAATTATTCTTACATTTGCATGTGCAAATCTATTTCCAATAATATGAGTAATATCTACAGATTCTCGATCTCGGTTGCTGTCCCTGTATATATGTGCGTCTAACGTTTACTCATGGCTTTCGAAAGCTCTTCAAGTTACACGTCCATACCGCAAGTATTAATTTAGATAATAGTGTTGTATTACACGAACCTGTCACACACGAAGGCTCAAATGCAATTCCTAGATAAATACATTTCGCAACGAACACAAGATACAAAAAGACCTGTAGATCGCAGATTGAAAGAAGTCGCTGTCGTAATAATTGCGTTTGATCGGAAAGAGAAGGGAAGGAAAAATATCTTTATTATGTTTATTAAACTTTCTCTATTAATTTTCTATATTTTAGGATTGATGCACACCTGCGTGTGGCTATATATATCTTCCAACGTGTAATTTTAAGTCCTTTCCCAGTAATAATTATATGCTTTATTTTATTATATATTTTTATAATTATATTCTTCTGTAAGTAAGAGCAAAGTATTTGTCCAATTATAATTAAACATAGGTCTTTAAGAGGATATTTAATTTTAGTTTGTTATAGATAATTAATTTCGATGCGTTGATAAATGCTAATTGCAGTTGTGATATATATATTATAATATTACTCCAAAGTCAAAGGGAAAAAAGTTTCTACATAAACTTCATATATGTGTGTAAAATTATCTTTCTTTGATAGGTAATCACGCCTATTAAAATCATTTGTATAGATTAATCATCATTCATTTTGTTCACCGGGTATCTCTTGCGTTGACAACTTGTAAGATCTTTCCTTATCTCTTTCGCGTTTCCTCTATTCAGTCGTATTTTTTTGGGGGGGGCAACAGGTTTTATTCAAGTGCCGGGTCATCTATGAATGAAATGATACCGAAGCTTTCGCTGTGCGGCGTAACCGCAATGAATATTTCCCGTTTGCGAGCAGGTTGAACACGTTCGATGATTTACATAAGGGTGCGGTTGGTAAACCAGACGATTTCGGATTTTATGACACGATCACGGATTTGTTTCTCGAAAGCGGCAATGCTTATCACTTGCTAAATCCTGCCTTGATAATATCATCATGATAAACAAGCTGACGGCGTCAACTCTATCTCTCAGTTATTTCAACCGAGAGACAGAGCGAATAAATCATATTTTTATTTCAATTTATAAATATGACCAAGCATGCAATATGGGAACGTTATTACTCTCATCGCACAAATCGAGAAATGTCATTGTGCAGCCGTATCTGATCATGCCCCACTTTCCCCTTGACGACTCACACGATTCCGTCAAATGCATTTAAGGGCCCAGTCTACTTTAGAGGATCAAAACAACAAATTTTTTTTTATATTTTCTGAAAATATGATGTTTGGAGAATATATCTTTCCAATTTTATTGAAAAATTCGCAAAATTTACGGAGTTATAAGATTTCGAATAGGATAGCGCGCGGACCTTGAAACGAGTCTTCAAAACTTTAAACGCGTTTTTCTCAAAACACTGCTTTCAAAGTTTGTGGGACGAATGTCTTCAAAATTAATGGACCAAATAACTTCAATCTTTTTTAATGAAAGAAAATATTTTTTTGGAAAGATTGAAACTAATTAAAATTTAAAAAATTAATCATTAATATTTTTTTGGTCTTCAAGAAATGAAAAAATTTCAGTAAAATTGAAATATTTAATTTTAAAATGACACTACTTTGTTATTTTTCAATTTTCTCTAAATTTAATTAGGTTCAGTATTCCGTAAATATTCTTAAAAAATTCCTAAAAATCATTAATTTTTCATACTGCTAGAGTAGACTAGGTCCTTAAATGAGAAGGAAAGCAAGATATTTTGCGAATAATTTGTATAATAATTATCTGTTTTTACTAATATCAGGAATCAATAAGAAGAAAGTTGCTGCTTTTGTGAATATATTGATTATTAAAATTCTTGGAATGAATTTGTCAGACCGGCTGCGCATCGCTCTATTCCATAAAGAATTATGCAGACACTGATTTTAGCAGTGAGTAAGTCTGTGTGTCATGAGCTAGAAATTATGATTTAAATAAATTACGTATACCAGCCAATCGTGCATGCCTAAGAAGTTTTAGATATTTCAAAGAAGATCTAAGGAATGCCCGACACGAAGACAGGTCAAAAAGAAAATATAAAACGTTAAGGAGTTGACACTTTCGTCGTGTATCGGCTATTGTTGGCCAGGTATATTTTCGGAGTGTTAAGAAAGAAAAGTCAATCGAATGCCTTTACATGCTACGATATAGCTGACAAGAGACGCCCAATAATCGAGTATAGCTCCTTCTAACGAAAATGTTGTCTATTTTTCACACACATGATTTATTATTTACATACTTATTGCACTTAAATAGCTTGATTTGCAAAAATATTCTTGTGATGCAAAATGTGTGTTATTGCATAAGGAATGTACGAAACGGAAATTTTTTTTCTCATCAATTCCTACACAGAGCTCAAAAAATAAATTTCTCGATGCGACGACAAAATGAATCATACAACTAACGTCGCGTGAGATCACCGCGTGTGTACTTCCTTCAAGGCCTATTTCGCGATTATATGTAGGCTCGGGACGCATTCACGGATAGTGCCAGAATCCATCTCTTAAGAAAAAAAAGAAAAAAAAAGAAAAAAGAAAAAGTGGCATCAGCCACAAAGAAGTAATTTGGATATCTTTGTACGGCCGGATATTTTTTCACGTTTCATGCTGGCGCCCGGAATGACAGGTTGCAAAACACCCTCCATCCTTTCCGTTCTTTATTTGCATCCTGCCAATACCGACTCGCGTAAGCAGGTGTACTCGCTCATTTCACACACAAAGATGCGTTTACACAATGTGTGCACGATTATAAGTGCGAGTCATGTTGAAAGCGTTAGAGCGAATTTGGGTCTCTTTTTTTGCGCAGCCACGCTGTTTCTTTTCACGAGACCCACCTCTCGAAAGAGCCATTTCAACTGACCCACTTATTGACGCGATAGTATATTAAAACAAAAAATATATCTCTAAAAAACGGACATACATGTATATTATGAATAAAGAGCAAAGCGTGCATGCAATTATGATATGAATCGTATGTGTGTGTGTGTGCGTAATTGTAAAATTCATTTTCTATCTCTCATCGAGATAGATGAGCGCATTTTAGGTGCAGGCGACAGGGAAAGTTAGACACTGTATCCAGGGCAAGGTGCGTGTTACAGGTGTATATTTCGCAACGATGCATTACAGCTGTCATGAAATATTAGCGGATATAACCTCCTGTGGTTTTTCATACTCAATAAATACATATTAAATTGCGTGTGAGAAAGATTTATTCACAGTTTCATAAAAATATATTTATTTTATGCAAATGACTCATTAATTTATGATTTCCAGTTTTTGTTATATTTTTAAATCCATTTGCATTATTTATTTGTAACGTATTTAAAATTTTGATATTATTATTAATATATTAATAAAATATTAATTTTTTTTAAGTATTAAGATATAAGACAGTTATTTTAATTATATTTCAATGTTTTTGATTTGCATGAATACAGATAATTATATCTCAATTATTCACAAACAGCAAAAACAATATAATAATTAACTTATATAATAATTTTTTTTTGCGGTACTTATATTCTTTAGATAATGAGAAAATGAAATCTCAGTGTTTACATCTGCTTCATTTATATGTAATAACAATACTTGTATGTATCTGCGATATATACGAAGCTGTCTTTTTTGTTCATCTGTTTTTCTGTCTTATCATTTCTGCTTTAAGATATTATAAAAATTGTTTAATGTTTAAGGGAAATCAAATGAAGATTTGTGAGAGTCGGTGTCAGAGGAATATTGATGATAAACTGAAAGCTCGTTAAATCTCAAGAGGTTTTTCTTGCCTTCGCTTTATAGTTAATTCCGTCTCCTGATAATGACAACGTCTCTTATCTACAACTTGACCATCAATACATGCTTCCATATATGATTCAATATAACTAAATATAACAAAATAGATATATTGAGATTAATGCATTTTTCTTTTCTACAAATTGATTTTTTATATTCATTGCCTACTAAACTTAATAAAGCGTAGAATATTATTAACATATGATACATGAATCATATCAATCGCGATACTTCCAATGTTTAATCACGTACGCGCGTGTGAATAATCTTTTTTTCACTCGTTGAGTTAGAGTACTGTTTCAGATATCGGTTCCTATGGTAATGTTTTATTTCACGCAACATTGATTTTTGCATCCATAACTTGTTAAGTTCACGGATTTTTTGATGCAACAGATGTATTTGCTTTCTTATTCTTAGGCTGCATATCTTATTTTGCATATCCTTTAATACACAGATTCTGTTTTTATCTTTTCCGAAACCAAGCCAAGATATCGATCTGGTCGATCCTCATCAATCGCGTTTGCAATGAAACAAGTTCAGACTTTCTTACAGTTTCTTACAGACCTTCTTACGTTCAGCATATGGTCGATGATAAATACGACGTTTTCGAAATAATGCATTCCATGGGAACCAGTTCAGCCGTCGCAGGTAGATCTACACGCAAGTGTACGCGTATACTTTAACGGAAGTTCGTCGTTCCACTCCGTGGCGTCAACTACCCAGACAGTGCCTTTAGTAAAGTAATATACACTCGTATAGTAATATACAACGCTCATCAGGTTCCCACCTTTGATTCACACTTTGTCCAACACGGACAAAACTCCGTGTCGTTCAGTCTAGAGCTGAAGATTACTGTTATTCCGCTAGAAAACCAACGATGCTGATCTAACGCTGGCAACTAATCATTAAAGACTTGACATTTCCGTATGCACAGTCCTTATCGAAGAATACAGAGGAAAAATAAATTATATTTGTTGAAGAATTTTAAAGATATAGAGAATTATCAAATTGACTTGAATTAGTAAATTAACGTTATTTATCTATCAACAATTCTCTCAATTTTATAATCTATATGAATTTATGTTGTTATCCCATTAAAATTCTTACAAAAATTACGATATTGTCGAATACTTTCTCAAAGAAAACTTTAAAAATTTATTTCTCTTCGTCAATTTATAACATCAAATCTTTTTGATATTTTTCTATATAAAAAGAAGCCATTTACATATATACATATACATACATACATTTACATACATATATACATACAATATCTTCTCTCATAATATCGTTATCAAGCGTGACGCGCTTGAGAAGGCTTCGCATAAAATTTAATCGCGTCTCCGATAACAAGCGACAGCACGCGATCTAAGCGCCAGGGAATCAATGCAATTGCATTCTCGTAGCGAGTACATCATAAGCTCGCTCTCTCTGTCTTTCTTTCTCTTTCTCTCTACTTTTTTCTACAACTAGCATTGAGGATGCAACGTATCTTATTAATTAATTTAAAAATCGCACATTCTAGCAATTCTTTATTTTATCAGAGTTGTCACAAAATACGTGACCGAAAATACATGCCGTGGAAGATTCAAAATAAGAATTTAAGAAAAAATGCGATTTGAGATTAGAATAGAAGGCTCATTGTGTGATCCTTGGCGGTTTTTAAACAAATCTAATCTATGCTCGAGCGAATTCAACGCAAATGATTTCTGACGAAGTGACATTGAAGAGACATAAATTGCGAATGAATCTTACGAAGAAGAGAAGACAGGGAATGAGCAATCTCAATCGTAAACTCACCGAGTACGGAGAGGCTGAGACCGGAGCCAGGGCGAGGCGGTCTGTTGGGGGGCGCCATGTCGCTCCTCTCTTTCTCTCCTCACTTTCTCTATTCTTTTTCTTCTTTTCTGTCTCACACTCTTCTCCGTTATGCGTGAACGTCTCTTTCTTATTCTCCCTCACGTGCAGATACGTATTTTAATCCGACGAGATAGAGAGATCCTACATCGCACACTCGGCAATACACTCCGATTCGCATCATACATATCCACACGCGAACGGAACGAGTAGAAAGGAGCTAAAGGAGATACGAGATGAACCGTGTGAATCTCGGAGGGCGCGCACACCTGTGACAGGTAATTACGGAGCGCGATAGTGAGTTGTAAGCAGGACCATTCGGTCTCGCCGGGATTCTCGACCCATCGTGATAATTTTTTCCTCTTTTTTTTTTTTACGTTATCAATGAAACCCCCCTGTAAAATTGAAATATCTAATTTTAAAATGACACTACTTTGTTATTTTTCAATTTTCTTTAAATTTAATTAGGTTCAGTATTCCGTATATATTCTTAAAAAATTCCTAAAAATCATTAATTTTTCATACTGCTAGAGTAGACTAGGTCCTTAAATGAGAAGGAAAGCAAGATATTTTGCGAATAATTTGTATAATAATTATCTGTTTTTACTAATATCAGGAATCAATAAGAAGAAAGTTGCTGCTTTTGTGAATATATTGATTATTAAAATTCTTGGAATGAATTTGTCAGACCGGCTGCGCATCGCTCTATTCCATAAAGAATTATGCAGACACTGATTTTAGCAGTGAGTAAGTCTGTGTGTCATGAGCTAGAAATTATGATTTAAATAAATTACGTATACCAGCCAATCGTGCATGCCTAAGAAGTTTTAGATATTTCAAAGAAGATCTAAGGAATGCCCGACACGAAGACAGGTCAAAAAGAAAATATAAAACGTTAAGGAGTTGACACTTTCGTCGTGTATCGGCTATTGTTGGCCAGGTATATTTTCGGAGTGTTAAGAAAGAAAAGTCAATCGAATGCCTTTACATGCTACGATATAGCTGACAAGAGACGCCCAATAATCGAGTATAGCTCCTTCTAACGAAAATGTTGTCTATTTTTCACACACATGATTTATTATTTACATACTTATTGCACTTAAATAGCTTGATTTGCAAAAATATTCATGTGATGCAAAATGTGTGTTATTGCATAAGGAATGTACGAAACGGAAATTTTTTTTCTCATCAATTCCTACACAGAGCTCAAAAAATAAATTTCTCGATGCGACGACAAAATGAATCATACAACTAACGTCGCGTGAGATCACCGCGTGTGTACTTCCTTCAAGGCCTATTTCGCGATTATATGTAGGCTCGGGACGCATTCACGGATAGTGCCAGAATCCATCTCTTAAGAAAAAAAAGAAAAAAAAAGAAAAAAGAAAAAGTGGCATCAGCCACAAAGAAGTAATTTGGATATCTTTGTACGGCCGGATATTTTTTCACGTTTCATGCTGGCGCCCGGAATGACAGGTTGCAAAACACCCTCCATCCTTTCCGTTCTTTATTTGCATCCTGCCAATACCGACTCGCGTAAGCAGGTGTACTCGCTCATTTCACACACAAAGATGCGTTTACACAATGTGTGCACGATTATAAGTGCGAGTCATGTTGAAAGCGTTAGAGCGAATTTGGGTCTCTTTTTTTTGCGCAGCCACGCTGTTTCTTTTCACGAGACCCACCTCTCGAAAGAGCCATTTCAACTGACCCACTTATTGACGCGATAGTATATTAAAACAAAAAATATATCTCTAAAAAACGGACATACATGTATATTATGAATAAAGAGCAAAGCGTGCATGCAATTATGATATGAATCGTATGTGTGTGTGTGTGCGTAATTGTAAAATTCATTTTCTATCTCTCATCGAGATAGATGAGCGCATTTTAGGTGCAGGCGACAGGGAAAGTTAGACACTGTATCCAGGGCAAGGTGCGTGTTACAGGTGTATATTTCGCAACGATGCATTACAGCTGTCATGAAATATTAGCGGATATAACCTCCTGTGGTTTTTCATACTCAATAAATACATATTAAATTGCGTGTGAGAAAGATTTATTCACAGTTTCATAAAAATATATTTATTTTATGCAAATGACTCATTAATTTATGATTTCCAGTTTTTGTTATATTTTTAAATCCATTTGCATTATTTATTTGTAACGTATTTAAAATTCTGATATTATTATTAATATATTAATAAAATATTAATTTTTTTTAAGTATTAAGATATAAGACAGTTATTTTAATTATATTTCAATGTTTTTGATTTGCATGAATACAGATAATTATATCTCAATTATTCACAAACAGCAAAAACAATATAATAATTAACTTATATAATAATTTTTTTTTGCGGTACTTATATTCTTTAGATAATGAGAAAATGAAATCTCAGTGTTTACATCTGCTTCATTTATATGTAATAACAATACTTGTATGTATCTGCGATATATACGAAGCTGTCTTTTTTGTTCATCTGTTTTTCTGTCTTATCATTTCTGCTTTAAGATATTATAAAAATTGTTTAATGTTTAAGGGAAATCAAATGAAGATTTGTGAGAGTCGGTGTCAGAGGAATATTGATGATAAACTGAAAGCTCGTTAAATCTCAAGAGGTTTTTCTTGCCTTCGCTTTATAGTTAATTCCGTCTCCTGATAATGACAACGTCTCTTATCTACAACTTGACCATCAATACATGCTTCCATATATGATTCAATATAACTAAATATAACAAAATAGATATATTGAGATTAATGCATTTTTCTTTTCTACAAATTGATTTTTTATATTCATTGCCTACTAAACTTAATAAAGCGTAGAATATTATTAACATATGATACATGAATCATATCAATCGCGATACTTCCAATGTTTAATCACGTACGCGCGTGTGAATAATCTTTTTTTCACTCGTTGAGTTAGAGTACTGTTTCAGATATCGGTTCCTATGGTAATGTTTTATTTCACGCAACATTGATTTTTGCATCCATAACTTGTTAAGTTCACGGATTTTTTGATGCAACAGATGTATTTGCTTTCTTATTCTTAGGCTGCATATCTTATTTTGCATATCCTTTAATACACAGATTCTGTTTTTATCTTTTCCGAAACCAAGCCAAGATATCGATCTGGTCGATCCTCATCAATCGCGTTTGCAATGAAACAAGTTCAGACTTTCTTACAGTTTCTTACAGACCTTCTTACGTTCAGCATATGGTCGATGATAAATACGACGTTTTCGAAATAATGCATTCCATGGGAACCAGTTCAGCCGTCGCAGGTAGATCTACACGCAAGTGTACGCGTATACTTTAACGGAAGTTCGTCGTTCCACTCCGTGGCGTCAACTACCCAGACAGTGCCTTTAGTAAAGTAATATACACTCGTATAGTAATATACAACGCTCATCAGGTTCCCACCTTTGATTCACACTTTGTCCAACACGGACAAAACTCCGTGTCGTTCAGTCTAGAGCTGAAGATTACTGTTATTCCGCTAGAAAACCAACGATGCTGATCTAACGCTGGCAACTAATCATTAAAGACTTGACATTTCCGTATGCACAGTCCTTATCGAAGAATACAGAGGAAAAATAAATTATATTTGTTGAAGAATTTTAAAGATATAGAGAATTATCAAATTGACTTGAATTAGTAAATTAACGTTATTTATCTATCAACAATTCTCTCAATTTTATAATCTATATGAATTTATGTTGTTATCCCATTAAAATTCTTACAAAAATTACGATATTGTCGAATACTTTCTTAAAGAAAACTTTAAAAATTTATTTCTCTTCGTCAATTTATAACATCAAATCTTTTTGATATTTTTCTATATAAAAAGAAGCCATTTACATATATACATATACATACATACATTTACATACATATATACATACAATATCTTCTCTCATAATATCGTTATCAAGCGTGACGCGCTTGAGAAGGCTTCGCATAAAATTTAATCGCGTCTCCGATAACAAGCGACAGCACGCGATCTAAGCGCCAGGGAATCAATGCAATTGCATTCTCGTAGCGAGTACATCATAAGCTCGCTCTCTCTGTCTTTCTTTCTCTTTCTCTCTACTTTTTTCTACAACTAGCATTGAGGATGCAACGTATCTTATTAATTAATTTAAAAATCGCACATTCTAGCAATTCTTTATTTTATCAGAGTTGTCACAAAATACGTGACCGAAAATACATGCCGTGGAAGATTCAAAATAAGAATTTAAGAAAAAATGCGATTTGAGATTAGAATAGAAGGCTCATTGTGTGATCCTTGGCGGTTTTTAAACAAATCTAATCTATGCTCGAGCGAATTCAACGCAAATGATTTCTGACGAAGTGACATTGAAGAGACATAAATTGCGAATGAATCTTACGAAGAAGAGAAGACAGGGAATGAGCAATCTCAATCGTAAACTCACCGAGTACGGAGAGGCTGAGACCGGAGCCAGGGCGAGGCGGTCTGTTGGGGGGCGCCATGTCGCTCCTCTCTTTCTCTCCTCACTTTCTCTATTCTTTTTCTTCTTTTCTGTCTCACACTCTTCTCCGTTATGCGTGAACGTCTCTTTCTTATTCTCCCTCACGTGCAGATACGTATTTTAATCCGACGAGATAGAGAGATCCTACATCGCACACTCGGCAATACACTCCGATTCGCATCATACATATCCACACGCGAACGGAACGAGTAGAAAGGAGCTAAAGGAGATACGAGATGAACCGTGTGAATCTCGGAGGGCGCGCACACCTGTGACAGGTAATTACGGAGCGCGATAGTGAGTTGTAAGCAGGACCATTCGGTCTCGCCGGGATTCTCGACCCATCGTGATAATTTTTTCCTCTTTTTTTTTCCTCTTTTTTTTTACGTTATCAATGAAACCCCCCTGGAGCACACATAGACACGCGACGGAGGTTCGCGGCGCACTGACTGACTGACTTGCGGCTAAGCCACCGACGACCAAGCATGGTTGCCTGATTGGCCAGCAGGTCGACCGACTGGTTGACTGGTGGCTTGGCTAGCTGGTGGCCGCTCCGACAACTTTGCCGATCCTCACGGTCGTTCTTTCACGACGACGATCTCTCTCTCTCTCTCTCTCTTTTTCTCTATCCCTCTCTCTCTCCCGCGCATCTCCAGATTCGCACGCACACGTATGTTCGCGTGCGTGCGTGCGTGCGTGCGTGCGTGCGTACGGGTGGCCGGAAGAGCAGAGGATGCAGGAGCAAGCACGACGAAAGGCAGAAAGGAATGTCTATATGAAACGACCGTCGGCGGACGCGGTGACGCGTGATTCTGCACATCGGCCAAAGGAAAGATTACCATCGCTCTGCTTTTTCCC